CAACTCCATTCCCATGTCGAGATTATCACTACCACAGCCAATACCCTTCTCGATCATGGTATTACCGCCACCGGTTCTTCAATATGGCGCATTTGCATTGTACGAGTCGGCAATGTCGCACATGCCGTCCTGCCGACCACCAATCTCATGTCCGCCGAAGATGATACCATCGCACACCCCCGTGCCCTTACTTTTGCTTTCCATGTGCCTGTAGTAGACCAATATTGTCACTCGTAGGCACAGTGTTACACGTAGATATACACACAGGCTCACCCTAGCGGTTACATTTGTAACATCAAATTCGTAGATGCCTATAGCGGGACGCCCTTCGTCTATCCTCTGAAACACAAGAACGACGCAAGTTCAACGTCAAACAAATTCTATACCGATATTGACAAGGACTATCTCAGCAACCTCCGGTATCTCAAATGTGGCCGCTGCAGTTAATAGTATCAACACGCAACAACACCTCAAGGTCACGTTCGTCTCTACCAATACCCCTGCACTATACGGTCTCATCCAACGCACCAACGGGAGTATACACGGTCTCATGACCTAAAACAAGTCAATCAACCCGATTGTATGTGGGTGGAGGTACTCCAAGATACTACACTCACCAAATAAATACAGTTCAACAAACACAACGACGACGACAGCATGTCTTCCTGAGAGGTATTCTGGTGTATCAAACCCACAACACATATTAATCACATACACGTGCTTGGTTGTCAGATGTATTTCATTGCCCGATCCCGACATTGGTATTTATTTAGGATACGACCGTCAATCTTTAAAATATTATGATGAATGTCGCATTTACAACTTCAAAGCTAAGGAAATATGTCACTTCTGTGACATTAAATGCAACTTCAACGTGTCCCCTACCTGTACTATGGTGGGCAATAGCCCAGTACCACACTTTGATACTGCCCCCACTGATGTACCAACGATTCCCGAAATAACACTCAGCTAACACCCTTTTTCAACGATTCGCGAAATAACACTCAGCTAACACTCTCCGCCGACACCACCTCTACCCCCCCCGGCCAGTATCCTCTCAGATAGTCACGCTGACTCCACCTCACCTACATACCAGTACCACTTCGATGATAAGTCTACCCACTTCAACCAATACCCTTCTTCCAACTTTTTCATCGACTGCACCCGCTGACTCGGCAATGTTTTTAACCTGGACGTTTGGACCCACCTATCACACACCATCCCACGGGCAACTCCTTGGAAACCCTTATCAACACGTCATTACCGACCCATATTAACAAACATCCAACTTTTTGGGCACTCTGTGGTCTTCTGCTACATCCACACAATGACAGTCGTGCACAACAAATAAACACATTCAACCAACAAAATCAACATCCACCTAGGGAAGCCTTCTACCACCAACGAGCCGGCAGGGGATCCTTCTACAGCCAACAACGCCGCGGAAGAGAGCCTACTTCTGCCACAGACCAGCCAGGGGAGCCTTCGGCCGCTACCGCCCCATCAGGAGAGCCTTCTTTCACTACCACTCAATCAGCGAGACCTTATGCCGTCACAGCCCAACCAGGACAGCTTCCCACCATCACCACCACACCCCAGCTACTTCCTACCTTCACCAGTTCACCGGTCACCTCTACGACACCTTCCATACCGTTTAATACAGATCATCATACCTATTGCATGACTTGGACCACAGACATAAAAAATAGCGGCCACCTCACTCCCACTTTTCATACCAATACTCACTCACGTTCTACCCACCACTCATTCCTGTCGTCCACAACCACACTTGACGACATCCCGCTCAAGGAACTCACCTTACGAGCCAAACACCGCCGGGCCCTCGCACACCTACAACGCTCTTTCAAACAACAATATCGTCGCGCAGCCCTCCGCCATGCACGTACCAGTGACAATCAGTTGACATCACACGATACGTACATTCCAGGAGGTCTTCATAGCCCACACGATGAACCTGACGATCTTGATACAGACCTCCGCATCAAAATCAACATAACTCGATACCCATATACCGTTTCCAGCTAACCCCACCCTACAACAAGCCATGTATAACGACACGGTACACAAAGTTTACTCTATTGGTGCCGCTTTCAATGAACACCTCCTTACGCCTGCCAAAATCTGCGAACCACTAAGCGGTGACGACGCTGATCCAGGGCGTGCGTCCATTACATGCAAACTTACCAGCCTCCAGAAATCTGGTACTAACGATCTGCTATTAAATCCAATGAACTCACCGACGATGCATTTACTGTCTCTAGCAGGTGATTATTCGAAATCAAAATTTCAGACGGAGTTATCAATAAGTACAAGTCCAGACTCTGCGCACGTGGATTTGCCCAGGCGAGAGGAATCAACTATCAGGAGACATATGTACCTACTTGCAGTCATGACACATTTCGTCTGTCCTCGCCGTCGCCCCATCACAAAACTGGCACGTAGAACAAATGGATGTTGATACTGCGTATTTATAAGCTGACGTTGATGAACCTATCTATATGCGACCACCCAAGGGCTTCACTACTATCGGCTTAGCTGACGATCATATCTTTGTTATCAATACGAGTTTGTATGGGCTCAAACAATCTGGTAGATTCTGGCTCGTACCCATCAAAAGCAAGTTTCTCAATAGAGTTCGTTCAAGCCATTTCCGACCCATGCCTTTTCATCGCCAACAACGATACCCTGTCTTGCGTGGTCCTTCTGTATGTCGACGATCTTGTCATCTGCGGCCGTACTATATCAGACGCTTACATCATCAGTTTTACAATATCAGTTCAGTTGCAAGATATGGGTGACCCTAAATGGCTCCTTAGCGTCCGAGTTCTCACTACCAACGATTCTATAAGCCTAGTCCAAGACAATCACGTGAGGGAAGCCTTAGACACGTTCACACCATCGACACAGAATCCAACTACTCTCAATACCTGTCCTCGCCACGACTGCCCTTATAGGGAAGCCTGTACGCTACGGTTCCCGTAGCTATCATAGTGGAGGAAGTAAACTCCTCCTACACTCGAGTATAAAAAACTAATCGGTACGTTCCAATATCTCTCCGTCTTGACCAGACCCAATATCACTAACGTTCTCAATAGTCGATGTCGCATGAACAACCCGTCTTGCAAACATAGGGATGCGGCCTTGCGGATCCTTTACAAGACAATGGAAGAATCACGTGAGGGAAGCCTAAGACATGTTCTGTATGACCGACTGTCATCCAGCACCTACACCATCGACACAGAATCCAATTACTCTCAATACCTGTCCTCGCCACGACTGCCCTTATAGGGAAGCCTGAACGCTACGGTCCCCGTAGCTATCATAGTGAAGGAAGTAAACTACTCCTACACTCAAGTACAGGAAACTAATTGATACGTTCAAATATCTCTCCGTCTTGGCCAGACCCGATATCACTAACGTTCTCAATTGTCTTGCATGTCACATGAGCAACCCATCTCGCAAATATAGGGATGCGGCCTAGCGGATCCTTTAATACATTTAAGGCACATCTTTTAAGGCACACCATATCTTGAACTTACTTGCCGTTCTCAACCTAAAACCTTAAAGACCGTTCTACTTCCGGATACATCCTTCGCATCAACGACATCCATATAGCTCGGAAATCAAAATGTCAGAAGTCATTATCCACGAGTACCGCTGAATCAGAATACTTTGCCGCGTCGAAAGCCGCCAAACATATCCAATGGCTACGCAACACACTTGAGCTTGGGGTTCCACAGGCATCACCAACCATACTTCAATGTGATAACAAGTCTGCTATCCACGCTATTGACTCCACATGATCTACCAAACACCTGAAACATATCGATATTGACTCCACATGATCTACTAAACACCTGAAACATATCGATATTGACTCCACATGATCTACTAAACACCTGAAACATATCGATATTCGCGTCCATCACATCAAGGAGATCTAAGAACAAGGCATCATTGTAGCGGAATATGTCAAATCCTTCTCTAACCAGGCCGATATATTAACAAAAAACACCGCATGGCTCACACACTCGAGGCAAACTATGACAATGCTCAGCATCGTTCCCAATGTATCACACTATCCTCCTGGAATTCAATACAGGGGAGAATAACTGATGATATCTGATTGCATTCTCGATATTATCTATCTACTGATTTCAGGGGAGTGTCAGCCAGATGTAACAAATCATCAAAAATCAAATATCTCGAATATACAAACAGCTCGGTACACTGAACCTCCAGTACACCGAATGACATGGTGTCATCAATAAGATGAAACTTATAAATATCCAAAGAGCCGACATAAGCGGTAGATATAAGGCCCTCCGGAGAGGGGATAATAAAGTGTCTCTTTACTATAGTACACATGTCTACAATGAGGTGTGTATAACGCTCTACATCGTGATAATAATGCAGCCATACATGACTCCACGTCGCAAAGGTTCAGTGATAGACTTCGATGTGAAGGCTATATGAGCTGCAATTTCAATTTGTTGTCAATTTATTTTCCATGCATCGCGAACGTTTTCTTAGAGGTCTAGGGATATCGGCGAGACCGAAATACTTACTGCGAGTGCAGTAGGCAACATTAAAGTGCCGTGTTGTGGCTGTGTTGTAGACTAGCAGTGCTGCCGATAGCCTATAAGCACAACGAAAAGCACACGCTATATAAAGAAAAAGAAAAATGAAAGCTCTCGCGCCATTTAGAGTGTAGTTGTAAGTTTCTACCTCAATTGTGTATAATAGCATGTGCATGTATCGGGATTATTGCCTATATCTATATCCACTCGCAGTTGACACTTAAGAGTTTCTTGCCGAACTATCATTTCACCTTTCTAAACGAAGCAAGGCAGCTATGGAAAAATCCACTATAGTACCTAGAATTAGCAAGTGTATATTCTTTTCGATCGCATTCAGGTATTCAGAAGTACTTTCTTTTCAAAACCCAAAATACATTTCTTTAAAGCACAACCAAAAGCTGCATTAAAACAATTCAAAAATCATTCGTTTAATCGTCTAATAATTACTTCGCCTTTGGGTTTCCAAATCACGTTCCACTCCTGGTCGAAGAACAGTTGTGATTCCGCACTTCCAGTGTCATACCTTACGTACTTGACTTCTTTCTTACGTGCACAGGTTCATAGCCAAAGAAAGAAAGAGAAAGCCACCGACATCGCACAAGCATGCCCAAGCAAGCGTATTGTCACGCCCACATGTGCACATGCGATGCTTTAGTACCGATCGCTGCACCACCGAAGCACAGAAGACCACACCAAACTCTCTACAAGGTGTTGTAAGTCATGTCTTTGCAGTCATATCCAGGCATTGGGAAGCGGGTGGCCAGTGCTTCCGCCTTGTTTTTGAGCTCCTGGAGACTAGGGCTATAGTTGGCTAGTCCTGCCTCAAAGTCCTTCAGTTTCTTGCCTGCAGACGTGTAGACGAGGCTAACATTTAGCAAGTGCATACGTTTAACGAGGTACGGATGTATTAAATCAGAAGGCTATAGGGTACTTATATTTTCTCGAATCCAAAATACGCGCTAAAACCTACACCTAGCTAGCGAACGCGTCACAACACGATCTATTCTTATGCCAAAGGCTTGCTTACACAAGGATCGGCCACCCCAGACATTGAGATCTCCGATAAGTCACACCCCATAAGAGCATGCACCCATGACATCAGCTGTACGTGAACACAGATACCCCTTATCCCACACAAAACATATACCCATACACAGCCCATATAAATATATATATAAGGGTACATACCAGTCTGTTTCTGCAGCTCGAGAGTCGCTTGCACCGCCTCGTGCAGGAGGTCAGCCACCTCAACAAAGTCACTCTCTAAGAAGCCACGTGACGTCAAGGCACACGCACCCAGACGCACACCTCCAGGCGACAGAGCAGACGTGTCCTTAGGCACACTGTTCTTGTTGATGGTGACGCTGATTAGCTCAAACAGCTTCTCTAGCTTGGATCCGGTGAGACCCTGAGCGGTTGGCATGTGTGGGAGGGAGGTTAGGATGTGGGAGGGAGGTTAGGATGTGTGAAGGAGGTATGCAATACACCAGCAACCTGCGGATATTATTAGTATACTACGTGTGTATTGGTATTTTCAGTATACTACATATTCATTGGTATCAATACTATACTGCAAATGCATTGGTACAATCATACCGGTGAGATATTGGGCCAGAATGAACCAGAAATATACTACTGGGTGCATGATATAAAGTGCCGAGCCACAACCACACACACACCTGAGGTCGGACATCCCAGAGACAGCAGTGGTTGTCCGTGCCACCGGTGACAAGGGTATATCCCAGCTCACTCAGTCTGGCAGCACACGCCTGCATGTTAGCAATGACCTGTTTGGCGTACTGTTTGAACTCGGGCGTGCACGCCTGCTTCATGGCCACCGCAATACCTGCCGATTGTTTGGTGCAGCGAGTGTGTGTAAGGAACAGGCTAGAGTGTGGTAGCGGGTATGTCCAATAAAACGAGAACAAATTTGTTTACGTTCAGAGTACAAGTGAACACACAACTGCAGAACGGCCATCACCTGCTTTTAATATCATGCTTTGCATATACACATATAGGCATAGGCACGCGTGAGCTATGACTTGCATAGCGTCTGCCAAGAATGAGGGAAGCAGGCTTGTACGATAAACATCACAATACACAAACATGGGTACAATGCTTTTGCTGATAAAGCACCTTAAACCAGAACAGCGCCAGAGGCGTATTGCGCAAGCATATGGGCTAGCAATCGAAAGCATATTGGAATATGATAGAGGGCGAATAAACACAGTTGGTGACGAGCATATATTTGCAGACACACACATTTGTATATATAGGCATACGTGTTTATAAATAGATAGTGAACTTGTGCTCCTTTTATTTGAAACAGCAGGTATCTACTCGTGCCTTCAGGTTTGGGTTCACTACGAATATGCATGTCTAAAACTGGATTACTACGCATTCCTAAAACATGGCATATCAATACAACTATCAAACACACACACTGTTACTATATATATGTATATATATAGAAGAGATACGCGACAATACACGGATAATAAAAATCAGTCGAGACTCTCCCCAGACATACCGGCGATAGTGTTGTTGTGGGGGCCACCCTGGGTGGAGGGGAACACCGCGAAGTTAACGCGCGACTCCAAATCAGCCAAACGTTCACCACTCTGCGCTTTGCGGAAGAAGATGATACCCGCACGTGGTCCACGCAGAGTCTTGTGTGTGGTGGTGGTGACTACATCGCAGTACTACGGGTGATGGAGATATGGGGCGTCAGTGATCGATTGGTGTGGTCAGGTCGGATTGAGAGGGCTGGGCTGATGGGTCTACGTAGGTACAAACCCTAGACTCTAGAACGCAGTGGCTTGTGCGTGGGAGTGTGGATTCTACGTAGGTACAAACCCTAGACTCTAGAACGCAGTGGCTTGTGCGTGGGTGTGTGGATTACACCACAACAAAAAGATAAGACATATGCGAGATGGTGAAGTAGCAATCTTTAGATATAATTTACACATGGGATGCTACAAAGTAGCAATCTTTAGATATAGTAGACACATGGAATGCTACAAAGTAGCTATCGATAGATATAATATACACATGGAATGCTACAAAGTAGCTATCGTTAGATATAATATACACATGGAATGCTACAAAGTAGCTATCGTTAGATATAGTATACACATGGAATGCTACAAAGTAGTTATCGCTAGATATAATATACACATGGAATGCTACAAAGTAGCAATCTTTAGATATAATATACATATAAAATGCTACAAAGTAGCAATCTTTAGATATAATATACAGATGGAATGCTACAAAGTAGCAATCTTTAGATATAATATACATATGGAATGCTACAAAGTAGCAATCTTTAGATATAATATACATATAAAATGCTACAAAGTAGCAATTTTTAGATATAAAAGACACATGGAATGCTATAAAGTAGCAATGTACTTTAGTAATACCAACAACCAAGCTAAAATAAGGAACCACAACACCACAAGAGAAGAGCCGTGTTCAATAGAAACAGTGCATTGGTAGCTATACATCCGTTCCCACACACACACACATAAAGCAAGGCAGGCGTCCACGTGAGCCAGTTACAAATGTTAAAGACATTGCCCTGCACCTCCGCCGCAATCAAGCCAGAGATGTGCGCCATGTCCGTCAAGAGATATGCACACACACACATAAAAGCAAGGCAGCAGTCTAAGCAAGCCAGTCACATACATCAAAGGCATTGCCCTGCACCTCCGCAGCAATCAAGCCAGAGATGTGCGCCATGTCCATCATGAGATAAGCGCCGTGCTTGTCGGCGATAGCACGCATGCGTTTGTAGTCCCAGTCACGTGGATATGCACTGCCGCCCATAATCAGCACATTGGGGCGGAACACCGACGCGTGGTCTTCCAGGCGGTCATAGTCCACATACCCTGTCTCGGGGTCCACCTGTGGAGGCACCAGGTGCATATATAGGGGTCTAGATGGGTTAGTATGGGCACCAGGTGCATGTATAGGGGCCTGGATGGGTGCAGACGGGCGGTGATAAGGCATCCGGGGGTAGAATGCGTATGGATATGGTGTGCATGCTCGTGTGGTGTAGTGAGGTGTAGAGACGTACACGCCCGACCGACTGGTACTATAGGCAATGCACGCGATGGCACCAGAAAGCGCTGCAGTTCAACAAGCAGATACCACACGCACACAACATCCTGTGGAGTTGCGCACGCATACAGTCACAGGGAGCCAGAGAGGGTGCACAAACACTCTGAACTCTCCAGCAATCACATACGGGTTGGTATGTTCAGACAACTACAACACACATACATTATATATGTGCAAGAGATTCATCTACAACACGCACACACTATATATGAGCAAGTGATCAACGAAACTTTTACACATCTCCCAAAGCGAATATAAACAGGGATTCATACTCTGACTGTTGATACACACATAACTACAGACAACAACCAAAAGCAACCACACCCCTACAACAACACAATGTAACTACGCTGCATCGACACAAGGTGACTCAGCAGCGTATGCGCACCTGGTAGGGCATAGACTGCCAGAAGATGGAGGTGGACGAGATCTTCTTCTTGGCTGTTTGGTAGCCGTGGGTCAGATGGCCCCCACTGGGCAGGTCAAGTCCCATCAGGCGATCGTTGGGCTTCATCATGGCCAGCAGAGCCGCGAAATTGGCGGTCGAGCCTGTGATATAAATAGAAGCGATTTGATTGGAGAAGAGATAAAACGACTTATCAGACATCGGAACGGACACGATGACACTAGGCGGAAAAACGTCAAATTCCCGAGGCCATCAGCCGTGTATGTACATGTATAAAGTGTTGTAGTACGGATAGAGACACACGAGGTCTACTTATGCGGAAAACAACCGCGTATATGCATCATAACGCACACACGTGATTTGTGAATGGCACAGCAGATGCACCGATGCCACCCACACACCCGCAACTGCCACTCCCATAGGGACCAGATCAAGTATCTCACCAACTTATATATATGTATATGCATATATATTTATATCTAAAAATAAAACCCTATACCCAAACGGCCCAACGAGAAGTCTAAATCCGGATCTCTGTGCACACGCAGCAGAGCAGTCGGTACTAAACCCAAACCTTTGACAAACAATACATACCACTGGACCTCAAATGTGAACCCCAAAGGGCAAGGCACATGCGTGTCACATCCACCTTACATGCATGTATTACAACACACACCTGAGTAAGGCTGTACATTGCAGCTCCAGTCATCTGCGCTGAGACGGAATGCCTCGAGCGCACGACGTTGGCACAGAGTCTCCAACACATCAATGTGCTCGTTACCACCGTAGTAACGGGCACCAGGCAGACCTACACAGACGCACACCAGGTGGGAGTGTGAGCGATACTGGTACTGGTGTAGGGATGTGTATTCGATGGGATTATGGGTGCGTGCTACGAATGTGAAGACTGAGATACTAAGATAGGTACGCGTGTATGTGAGTGAATCAATGCGTCTGGGTATGTATGCGCCCGTTTGTTGGGAGAGGTGATTTTAAACGTCAATTGTTTCTGGAACTGAAAAACGACAGACACACATCCGAAGGATCAAGAAAGGTGCTAGAACTAACAGTCCACCTACCAGACTGAGTGGTATACACGCATTCTGCAGGGTAGAGACTGAGAGAGAGGATTTGAAACGAAGCACACGACACATCCAAGTATAACACATAACCTTAACGTATCGAATTCGAACGTGCCCTACGTATATGCATATGACCTTGTATATAGCATCGTATAAGGTGTCTTATCGGCGCTACAAAACGATAACAAAAACATAAAGAAAACACACAACACAAGTGCGTGCATGATAACCCCCCCCCCCACACCTTCGGAGTACTTGTTGGTTAGGCATGATCCATTCGCCTCCATGACTGCCGCAGAGGTGAAGTTCTCTGAGGCAATCAGTTCCAGCCCACGCCATTGTCTGGTGGTTGATGAGATGACAGGGTTTAGGGTTCAACAAGTAGTACACGCAGAGGAGAGTCAACGTTCTGGTGGGATGCACTCGCACTTCCCTATTGCGCAAATAAAGAAAATAAATGCGCACATGCATGTACATACACTTGCGCAAGTACATATGCACACGCAAGTACACACACATACGCAAGTACATATGCACGCAAGTAGATACACTTATGTATGTACAAATGCACACGCAAGTACATACACATACGCATGTACATATGCACACGCAAGTACACATGCACACGTAAGTACATACACATACGCATGTACATATGCACACGCAAGAACATACACATACGCATGTACATATGTACACGCAAGTACGTATTCGCGCACAAACTCGTAGAAATTGACACACACATACACGGGAATACTGGTGCATGTATATTGCAAAGCTGGGGCAGCTCGGGTGCTCGAAGGATTCGCAATGAAAACAGACGGACAGCAAACACACGACGTATTTGTTAACACATAGCACTCTGCACTCGAGTGTGAAGCAGCGCAGCTGTAGGTCACAGACGTTGTCTAACACACACCGCAGCAGTGTGTGCGTTATCTTTAGATGGTTGGCTGCACAGACGAGTATATGCCTTGCTGACTGACAACTGACTACGAAAAAACACGCAAGTATGTCATCCGTATCATGCCACCACCGAACCACCTATCAAGACACTTGCGTAAAACAACTGTACTGCTGAGGTGGGGTCGAGAGCCATAGGTAGTACGCACACATATCAGTCTTTGGCAACGCTGAAACGAAACAGAAACCAGTCCATGCTACGAACGCAATATATGAGAAATATTCACATGCGCGTATAGCTATTAGTGTATCAAACACATCTGCAAGCACAACACCGAACGCTATACTAAACCACGCCCGCTTTACAGTTCAGGTTGAGAATATGGACACACGCACCTATTCGCTGTAATACTAGCATAACAACACGGTACGTTGCATATGGCTAGTGCAGAAAAGGCATACGAGTGCACAGACACAACACACGCAAGTCTTCAAATGGTCACCATCAAACGCACCTGTTCTTCTCTTTCTCGATGAGGTCGTAGATCTCAGGATCCTCCTCTTTCAAGGGACGGCTCAACATAGCGTCCTAATTACGTGCAAGCGGATAATAATGTAAGTGTGAGGATGCAGCGCGTCTGTACTCGAACTGAGATATTTCAGTCGTGAATGCAACATCACACACGACAGTCAAGTGGTTAAGCGCGAAAGTAAAAGTAAAAGCAAGGAGCATGATTGCAGATCTACAACTATCACGAAGTTCGAAAACCTTTGACTCGCACTCACGGAATGTGTACGAGGGAATTGGGGTAAAGACGATTCCGTCAGTTGATAATATTGGAAGCGAGTTAGAAGACATTAAAGTTTACACTCCACAAGTATATTATGGAGAGAGAGAGAGAAACAAACAATGAGCCATACATGCATCAGCCGACACCTACGCATTGTTGTCTCCAGCACGGAAACAATAGAAGTATGACGAAGGACTATGACTCCACGGGTGAAGGGCGCAGTGTGTTGGGAAAAAGCAATCTGACACAAAAGTATTTGGAGAACATATTATTAGAAACTTAAAACAATCGATCAGGTACGCGATAGCCAAACAAACATAAACATACCATAGTCATGATGTTAGATAATGTTTGTTCGAGAACGAGTGTGGAACTTGCTCTATACTAATACGAGTATATTTATATCAATTTTAAATATCCTCTACGATAAAATTACAGCATCTGTGTATCATATCATATCTGATTATCATCAACAACACAGCACACACTGTTCACAGTTCAGACTCCAAAGACACCGAGTCCAGAGTCCAGACCCACCGGCTATTTGCCATACAAACGCGCAGAAGAAGCGCATGAAGCCCCAAACACCGTCACATGCGACACAAGTGAAGATGACACTTTGTACTTTGTAGCGTCAATCTGATTCTGATGTCAATTAGATATCTAAAAATAGATTCCGACCAGAGGCTGAACGGCTGCAGCGACTACTGAGTACTGACTGGTGACTACGTAGTGACATTGGCTTTTCCACTCGGGCCAGTGGGCACTGGTGGGCAACAGCCAACAGGTCACAGGGCAAGTGGGTAGTCTCTGCCCCTCTCTCTGGTGACTATTAGTTTGTGCTCCTGCAAAAATAAAACTGGCCCCTGTGGCCCTGTCCTCTGAACATGGACCCTGGTCTCTCTACTAGTCCCTGGGCCGAGTGTTTTGAAAAAAAATTTCCCATTTCTTAACATAAAACAAGAAGTAAATTTTATTTTTATTTTTACAAGGGCTATAGTCCTGCGGACTTGTGTGTCCGTCAGCTTTCTTTTTTCTCTCTCTCTCAGAGAGAGGGTCATCGCCTCACAGAGCTATGAAGAAAAGTCATACTTATGTTTTATTGGGTTCTATTTTTAAATCTGTACACTGCGTCAGCATGGCCCTATAGTCTGAATATACGGGTCCATGGCCCTATGCCCCATATCCATAGGGCATATTCAAAAAAATAAATAGCTCTCGAGTGTTGAGACTTCCGAGACTCCCGACTCAGTCGCCTGTAACCCTGTGTCTTGAAAAAATATACATCATAGCCCTCTAAATAGTATACATATTATAGACTGCCAGCCTCTGCCACTAAATACTCAGCAGCCATGATAGTGTGACTGTGCCGCTGTGACTCTGTGAGTGCCTGTGACCACTGTGAGAGTGTGAGTCTCTGTCTCTGTGAGAGTGTCAGACTGTGCGCGAGAGTAGTGTGAAGTGTGAACTGACCACCCCCTCACTCCTACTTTGTGTGACATAAAATCATAAATACTACAAGTTGACTCTACGCGAGTCTGTGAGAGAGACGGTGTGAGAGTGGGGACTGGGGACTGCTGGGGAGAGTGAGTTGAGGACTTGAGGCCGAGTTGGGACTTTTATGACGATTTTCTGAAATAATCAATAGATTATTTTAGATTCTGGTCTCTATAGCCTCTCTAAATACCTCATGGCCAGTCCATTGGTTACCAATGGAATTTACCAAAATTGTTGTAGGTTAAAAAACTACTCTGAATTTTACACAGCTTCTGGTCTTCTACGCACTCTTGCAATTTGTTGAAGTTCACAAGTTTCACATTTCAAAGTTCCGAACTTTATATTTATTTTAGCTTGGTAGCTAATTTTGTTCAGGAAATAGTGGTAGCTCAGAAGAGGCTACGAAATACAGGAATAAATACATAAAAAGTACGTATTCATAAGAGGACTGTTTACTGTATATAACTTTTATATTGAAATATGTACGTAAATATGTACGTACTCAAATGTCCACTACAGTCGTATTCAAACATATGACGGAATAAGTTTTGTAGGGTCTATAAGGCAGAGAGTACAACAGGAATTTCGAGCCTTCAATTCGAGTTTTAATGAAATAAAAAAATAGTCTGCTCGTGATCAGTCAACTAGCCTCATCAAGTACTACGTAGCAACGTTTTCAAATGAAAAAGTAAAAGTAAAGTTAAACTTTTTCCTATACATTCGTAGTCCTGAAGCTACCCATAAGAGCATTGTCCAGGTCAGAGTTTTGTCCTAACCACATCACCTAACTATTGCCCGCCCAGCCATCGGTTCTGGAGACTTGAGCGTTGGTTGAGCGTTGTCAGGTACAATAGCCCGCTTCACTGTCCCTTGGTATTGACGTTGTTCATATTCTAGAAGTTAAAGTATATATAATTGATAGAGATATCTAGGATTTACAGCCTACAGGCAACAGGCTACACAGTCTACCAGCACGATTAGTTTGACTTTTAAGTGTGTTATTAGTGACTTAGTGCCTATTTAGTGTGTGACAACACAAATTTACAAGTGCCATATTGTCAGAAAAAAAATATGCAAAGGTAATCTAGTTGTTTTTCATTGGTCGGTTATGCATTTCGTGGCCAAAAGTGTGAGAATAGGTGCACTATCGTGGGCAGCCAATCGAAACAATTGAGGTCCAAATTGAAACAGTAAAACATTGCAACGTTTTCAAAAGAAAAAGTAAAAGTAAAACGGTCAACTTATGTATATGAGGTTAGTCAGTCATATCAGCCATAGACTCATACACTGTATATTATAATTCAAAAAAAACAAAACGCCAAAAGCTGCCGGCAATTCCAACTGCCGTCATTAATATTATTTTTTACCGCAGATATCTCATCATCTCAGTACATATTGGATTTATATTTTTACATCCACCTAAAATAATATATAAAATATACACTACGCACACGAATACACACCGTAGCGTTGCTCTGAGGTGTATGTGGTACGTGTAGAGCAGATCATTCAACACATTAGTCATATTTATTTATTGAAAGTGTTGTGGCATACATATAAAAGATAGAGGTCTGTATAGATATCCGATATTAGAATTGATCGGTGTTCGTTTGCGACTGGGAAAGCAATTCGTTCTTCCGTCGTGCGTAGCTCACCCTACACTAACACGCATAAGCTAACACATAACATGGTTATCTACTGAAAACAGTACTATCCGATGCCTATTCAGGCCCAGTCAGTATCAAGGCTAAATTGAAATATAGATCATAGTAACAGTGTTGTCCTTATGACAGTGGCACGATGGATCCGCCGTACACAACGCCGACAAAGGCGTCGCAACGCACACCCAGGAGAACACCCAAGAAGGCAGTTGTATACAGCGATCGGTAAGTAGGATATATGTTTATTGAACATACATCGCTAGAGCCATTTTTGTCTTCAGTATGTTCTAGAGAATTTATTCATGCACATAAGCTGAAAGGTGTCTTTGCGCACGATGTATGCATTGTCAAACAACCAGAATGACACCCGAGTTTACCTATCTGTGCATAAGTTGGTTATATCTATCGATGTGTCCTACTTTGGTCATCTATAGTTGGATTATTATGAGGCTAAGTTATCTACAAGTGTTCTGTTACGTGAGATTGGGTAGTGACTCGTGGGTGTCGCATATGATGTCCGTACTTTTTTAGTTGAGTTAGGGTACATGGCGGTTGTCTGGATGTGATATCGGCACTAATGATCACCAAGTGCTTTGAAAAGCATGGATAATCTCATGTTGTATCGCCATGTTGGGTAGTGTATAGTATATGTATTTAAAGGTGTATGCTTGTGAATATTCCAATGATACATATATATCTCCAGCAGGGTAGGGTTGCATGTGCTTTAATTTTACATTTCCAACGTCCCTTGTTGGTGGCGTAGGGTATCTGCATTTGATGTAGATCTGCCAAGCGATGAGCGTTTAAATATCTGTTCATGTGCCTACGTCAACTAGATATGTGAAATAGCATTGAAATATTAGATCGTCCGTACAAAGTCCGTGAGAGTTGATCTATCTTGTGGTGGATGGCTTAAAACTTGGTATTTCAATGTTGGTTGAAAATATTCTTACACTTTTTTGTGTAGGGATGATTACAACAATCTATGGCAGGGTTCGAGCATATGTTTGTCTATGTATCTTTTGTTTTTACTTTCATGCCGCTCTGTACGTATAGGCTTCTATTCATGATACACGCACACAAACATACACACATACGCACTCCCGACCCCCCACCCACCCACCACACACACACCACACACATTCACACACAAACATACACACACACACACACATACACACACACGCATACACACATACAAACACAGACACACATACAAACACCCACCACACCCACACCCACATAGACGCAGAAACACACACACAC